ACATGTGTGTGCATGCAAATAAAGACAAATATGTTTTTTAGTAGAGGGGACAAAGAGATAAGAAGGGAAAGAAAAAAACAGCTCTCTAAGACAAAGTCTTGACAAGTTGGCGAGACATCCACGAACTTGCCATCCTCCTGCCTCAGTGTCCTAGGTAACTGGGATTTACAGTGCCGGTTGCTCTGAGCATTTTACATTCAAAGGCTCATTGACTCCTCTTACAATCCCATGAAACAGATATTAACGCCGACCCATCTTATGAAAGATGAAAGAGTTCAGAAAGGTCCACTCATTTGTCCCAAGTTCCAGCCAGGATCCCCAAAGCTGGTGTATTTAGCTCACCTCCTCCCTGGGACCTGTCCTTTCCCGAGCTCATCGTGTGACTGCAGTACGTGGTCAGAGACCAAGCCTTGCTCTTCTGGCAGGCATTTTTGCTGATACAGAGGAGTCATGGGCCCTTCAGGCCCAGGAAGTGCTCAGCGCGCACTGAGTCAACCCCTAAGACTGTCACCTTTGTCCCCTTCAGCCCTTTACACGTATTTCACAGGCACTGGTCAAGGACAGGAGCGCAATGCAAACTTGCGATGCTGATGGTTCGTGCAAGCCTACACTGATGTCCAAAGTTGCAGCACAGACCTTCCTGAGCTGGGCAACAGACTCCCCTCTGACCAGCAAACTATTAAACCTGCTTCTATTTTTTATCTCTCTTTTCCACTTTGTGTGTGTAATATGCATGTGTGTGCATACATGTGTAAGAGTGTGTGTGATCTAGTGCATGTACAGGCCCTGAGGTTGATGTCAAGAACAATTCTCAATTACTAGTTTACTTTATTAATTGAGGCAGGGTCTCTCAATCAAAGTGAGAGTATATGGCTCGTCTTACTAGCCAGCTTGCTCTGCCTTCTAAGATCCCTTGTCTCTGCCTTCTAAGGCTGGAGTTACAGCTACCGCTTACTCAGGATTTTATGGAGGTTTCTGGGGATCCAAGCTCTGGTCTTCAACCTTGCATGGCAAGCACTTTGCAGAGACGACTCTTCAGCCCCCCCTCCCTTTTTTTTAATTCTACCTGCTCTGTCTCCCTAGTGCTGGGACTAAAGTTGTGTACCATCATGTAGCAAGAGGGCTCTCTTCTACCTGTTCATGATTTCTGGGAAACCATGCACTTTTTTTTTTTTTTTTCTTTTTTTTGGTTTTTCGAGACAGGGTTTCTCTGTAGCTCAGGCGCCTGTCCTGGAACTGGCTCTTGTAGACCAGGCTGGCCTCGAACTCACAGAGATCTGCCTCTGCCTCCTGAGTGCTGGGATTAAAGGTATGTGCCACCAACACCCGGCAAGAGAATGCACTTTTACACACTGAGCCATCTTGTTAACCCATGAATATAAATTCACTCTTCTCACATCATCTAGAAGAACATCTGAGCCAGGTGGTGGTGGTAGCACATGACTTTAGTCCCAGCACTTGGGAGGTCAAGGCAGACAGATCTCTGAGTTTGAGGCCAGCTTGCTTTACAGAAGGAGTTCCAGGACAGTCAGAGATGTTGCACAGAGAAACCCTGACTCAAAAAACAAAACAAAAACACAAAGTTTCCCTGTGTAATGAACCACTCCGTAAATTCCCGCGAAGAATATAGCAAGCATTCTGTTCATCTGGAGATCAACAGGCTGAGGGGAGGCGGGTCTTTTTGCCTAGGCTAACCAGACTCACAGGGCAGCTAAGGGTGACAGCATTAGGATGATGGCACCCACATTAGAGATGGAATCCAGCACTTTGTGCATGCTAGGCAAACACTCTACCCACGGAACTACACTGCCAGCCGCCTAGTGGGTTCCAGTCTGGAAAACCTCATTCCAGCAGGGTCAGTCTCCTGTCCGTGCTAAAGTGTCAGCTGAGTACACACACATCTGGGTGCGTGTGTGTTGAGTGCAGAGGACAGCCTTGGCTGTATCTCTCAGACGCCACTCTTCTTGAGACAGGACCTCCTCCCTGTCTCCTCTCCTCACCAAGGAGGCTAGGCTGCCAGGGGTCCACCCATCTCTTCCTCCCCAGAAACGGGTTACAAGTGAGTGCCACTCTATCTGACTTTTTTTAAAAATAAATCTGAGTTCTGGGGGTCAGACTCATGCTTTCGAGACAAGCTCTTGACTGAGCACTTTCCCAGGCCTCTGCCCCAGCTTTCTGTGCAGGATCTTGTCAAAGGAGCTGCAAGGAGGACTCATGGAACCTCTCTGCGTTATTTGCTTTTGGGGACAGGATTTTACTGTAAAACTCAGATCCATCAACCTCTGCCTCCCTAGTGCTGGGATCAGAGGCATGCACCACCCGGAACGGCTCTGCATTCTCTCTCACAACTACCTATTAACTTCCTACATCATCTCAAAGTTCAGGTGTTAGAAAATCAAATCCCAGAAGAGGTACTTTAGTCTTCCTTCGGCCAGCTCATGTAGGATCACCCGGATGCGCATTCCTCCGCTGAAGGAACTTGGAGAGAATAAGGAAGGTGACTTGGTTTTATTGGAGCTGAGAACATTGGACTCTGTTCTTCCCCATGCATGGCAGGCCAGGGCCAGGGCCAGGGCGGAGGAAACCTGTTTTAATTAAAAATGTGGGAAAAAGGGGCTGGAGAGAAGGCTCAGTGGTTAAGAACATTGCCTGCTCTTCCAAATGTCCTGAGTTAAATTCCTGGCAACCACATAATGGCTCACAATCATCTGAAATGAGATCTGGTGCCCTCTACTGGCCTGAAAGAGAACACAGAAACCATGGGCCCTATGGCCCTCCGTCGGCCCTCCAAGGGCCCTACGATGGCCCTACGACGGCCCTAGGGCCAACAATTGTATGGTGGCTCACAGAATTATGAAGTCACCAAACACTGGGAGTCTCAGAATATGTCCCATTGTTATGTCGTTCTTGAAGCTGTATGTACAAAACTTCGTATTTGGGAAGTCAAAAAACTATGTGAAAATATGTTATGCCTCTTCGTTATTGAAGCCTCGATATTTGAGTACTATTCTAATATTTTTCTAGTATCCATTTGTTTATAGGTCTTGAAAGACCACCATACAATTGATTTTCTAACACCTGAACTTTGAGATGATGTAGGAAGTTAATAGGTAGTTGTGAGAGAGAATGCAGAGCCGTTCCGGGTGGTGCATGCCTCTGATCCCAGCACTAGGGAGGCAGAGGTTGATGGATCTGAGTTTTACAGTAAAATCCTGTCCCCAAAAGCAAATAACGCAGAGAGGTTCCATGAGTCCTCCTTGCAGCTCCTTTGACAAGATCCTGCACAGAAAGCTGGGGCAGAGGCCTGGGAAAGTGCTCAGTCAAGAGCTTGTCTCGAAAGCATGAGTCCGACCCCCAGAACTCAGATTTATTTTTAAAAAAAGTCAGATAGAGTGGCACTCACTTGTAACCCGTTTCTGGGGAGGAAGAGATGGGTGGACCCCTGGCAGCCTAGCCTCCTTGGTGAGGAGAGGAGACAGGGAGGAGGTCCTGTCTCAAGAAGAGTGGCGTCTGAGAGATACAGCCAAGGCTGTCCTCTGCACTCAACACACACGCACCCAGATGTGTGTGTACTCAGCTGACACTTTAGCACGGACAGGAGACTGACCCTGCTGGAATGAGGTTTTCCAGACTGGAACCCACTAGGCGGCTGGCAGTGTAGTTCCGTGGGTAGAGTGTTTGCCTAGCATGCACAAAGTGCTGGATTCCATCTCTAATGTGGGTGCCATCATCCTAATGCTGTCACCCTTAGCTGCCCTGTGAGTCTGGTTAGCCTAGGCAAAAAGACCCGCCTCCCCTCAGCCTGTTGATCTCCAGATGAACAGAATGCTTGCTATATTCTTCGCGGGAATTTACGGAGTGGTTCATTACACAGGGAAACTTTGTGTTTTTGTTTTGTTTTTTGAGTCAGGGTTTCTCTGTGCAACATCTCTGACTGTCCTGGAACTCCTTCTGTAAAGCAAGCTGGCCTCAAACTCAGAGATCTGTCTGCCTTGACCTCCCAAGTGCTGGGACTAAAGTCATGTGCTACCACCACCACCTGGCTCAGATGTTCTTCTAGATGATGTGAGAAGAGTGAATTTATATTCATGGGTTAACAAGATGGCTCAGTGTGTAAAAGTGCATTCTCTTGCCGGGTGTTGGTGGCACATACCTTTAATCCCAGCACTCAGGAGGCAGAGGCAGATCTCTGTGAGTTCGAGGCCAGCCTGGTCTACAAGAGCCAGTTCCAGGACAGGCGCCTGAGCTACAGAGAAACCCTGTCTCGAAAAACCAAAAAAAAGAAAAAAAAAAAAAAAAGTGCATGGTTTCCCAGAAATCATGAACAGGTAGAAGAGAGCCCTCTTGCTACATGATGGTACACAACTTTAGTCCCAGCACTAGGGAGACAGAGCAGGTAGAATTCTGTGAGTTCAAGGCCAGCCTGATCTACCAAGTGAGTATCAGGACATCTAAGACTATATAGGGAGACTCTGTCTCAAAGGAAAAAAAAGGGGGGGTGCTGGAGAGTCATCTCTGCAAAGTGCTTGCCATGCAAGGTTGAAGACCAGAGCTTGGATCCCCAGAAACCTCCATAAAATCCTGAGTAAGCGGTAGCTGTAACTCCAGCTTTAGAAGGCAGAGACAAGGGATCTTAGAAGGCAGAGCAAGCACTGAACTCACAAGGTGCAAAGACAGGTCAAACGCTTGTATCACATAAAATTTTAAATCTTGCTCTCCTGATAGACACTAAAATAATTCTGGTCTTAATAAAAAATTGACTAATATGCTTGGCAGTGGTGGCACAGACCTTTAATCCCAGCCCTTGGGAGGCAGAGGCAGAGGCAGAGGCAGAGGCAGAGGCAGAGGCAGGTGAATCCTTGTGAGTTCTAGGCCAGCCTGTTCTACGAAGCAAGTTCCAGGTCAGCCAAAACTGTTATACAGAGAAAATCTGTCTCAAAAAAACCAAAATAAATTAATACATAAATAAAATGACTAATAAAGTAATTCCCCCTTCTTTAAGAGAAAAAAAAAGATTTTTATTTATGCATATGGGTGTGTCTCTGTGTGGGCATGTGCCATGGGTCTGAGGGTGCCCTCAGGAGCCAGAAGAGGCATTAGATCCCCTAGAGTTTCATGTGGTTGTAAGCCTCTTGATGTGGGTGCTGTGTACCAAACTCACATCCTCTGAAAAAGCAGTGTGCTGCTAACTCCTGAACCACATATCCAGCCCCACTCCCCATTTAAAAATATAGGGTCTTGTGTAGTCCCGGGCTGGCCTTAAAATCACCACCTAGCCAAAGATGACCTTGAACTTTTGATCTTTGCCTCCACCCCACAGATGCTGGGATGACGGGTGTGAGCCAGTTTATGTGCTGCAGAGAACAGACGCCAACGCCTGTGCATGTCGGGTAACTGTACCATCCTCTTTATCCTCAGTTCAGCAGTGACCTCTAGTCAGTAAAGTAGCAAAGGCTGGCACCAATTAAAGATGGAAGGCACAGGTCCCAGCACTGCGGAGGCAGAGGCAGGAGACCACAGTTAGAGGCCAGCCTGAGCTACACTGTGAGTTCCAGGACAGCCTGAACTTTAGAGTAAGACTGATCTTGAAAAAAAAACACAAACAAAACAAAACAAAAAACCAACAAACAAACCAACAAGCAGGCGGTGGTGGCACACACCTTAATCCATCCCAACACTCAGGAGGCCGAGGCAGGCAGATCTCCGAGTTTGAGCCAGCCTTATCTACAAGTGAGTTCCAGGACAGCCAGGACTACACAGAGAAACCCTGTCTCAAAAAAAAAAAATAAATAAAACATCAACAAAAAACCCCATGAGTTAGGAGTTTTGTACTTCAGGAAGTGCTTGTTGTACGAAGGACCTGAATCCCTCCAGCATCTGTGTGAAGAGCCAGGCTCGGTGGGCCACACCTGTAATCCCAAAACTGGAGCAAAGGCAGAAACAGCTGGGTCTCTGGAGCTCCTGGACAGCATGGCAGCTGGGTCAGAAGCTCCAGGTTGAGCGGAAGACCTTGTCTCCGAGGAAAGAGAAGGACGGAAGATACCCAGTGCTGACCTCTGGCCTCTACACCCTCACACACAAAACCCCAAAACAAAAAATTAATACAACTTTCTCCTTCTTTGCAATTTTGTCTGTGTAAGAACTGTTTTTACTGTGGGTCTAGCACCCTTAGCTTGTGACTCTTTTTTCTTAAGTCAAGACTGTTTCCCTTTTCACTGAAGGGGACACGGTAGCTTCTCAGACCTGACTGCATTCCGTGGCTCTCTTGCTCTTTGGAGCTGTGACTAAGTAGGCTTTCTCCAAGGAAAGAACAGGGGGACAGCAGCAGTTAGCTGAGCCGGCACCCGAGACAGAAGGCTTCACTCGGCTATTACAGAATACAGTTATAATTCTGTTTTTAAAAGTTTGTTTGCAGCCGGGCGATGGTGGCGCACGCCTTTAATCCTAGCACTTGGGAGGCAGAGGCAGGCAGATCTCTGTGAGTTCAAGGCCAGCCTGGTCTACAAGAGCTAGTTCCAGGACAGACTCTAAAACTACAGTGTACAGTGAAACCCTGTCTCGAAAAACCTAAATAAATAAATAAAAATAACAAAATAAAAATTTGTTGGCAATTGATAGTTTGTGTATGGGTGTTTTCACTTGTGTATATGTCCATGAGCCACATGTTCAGAAGAGGGCATTGGAGGCCCTGGAATTGGAGTTACAGATGGTTTGAGATGCCATATGGGTGCTGGGAATAGAACCTGGGTTCTCTGAAGCACTCAGTGCTACGATCTGCTGAGCCATCTCTCCAGCCCAGGAATAATTCTATTTTGCTATAAATTATTGCTCATCTCTTACTATGCCACTATACCTGACTTTGATTTTTGGGACAGGTTTCTCTGTGTAGCCCTGGCTTCCTAGAACTCGCTCTGTAGAACAGGCTGGCCTTGAACTTAGATATCTGCCTGCCTCTACCTACCAAGTCCTGGGATTAAAAGTGTGCGCCACCACCATCCTGGTTGTTGTGCCTCATTTGAATTGAACATTAAATGTGCTGTGACCTGCTTGGAGAGCTAGCTGAGCAGTTAGGAGTGTCCACTACTCCAGGACATCTGACAACCTCTTCTGGTTCTACACCCATGCACACACACCCACACATAGACACACGTATGCCATGCACACACACCCACACATAGACACATGCATGCCATGCACACACACCCACACATAGACACACGCATGCATATACTTAAAATTAAATTGATTTTTAAAATTTCTTTAATGATTTATTCTTATTTTATGTGCATTGGTGCTTTGCTTGAATGTACGTGTGTGTAAGAGTGTCAGATCCCCTAAAACAGAAGTTACAGACAGTTGTGAGCTGCCATGTGGAACCCAGGTCCTCCGGAAGAGCAGTCAGTGCTCTCAACCGCTGAGTCATCGCTCCCGCCCCCCCCCCCCAATTTGTTTAAAAATTAGTATTACTGAACCAGTAAGAAGGCTGAGGAGGGAAAGGTGCATGCTGCCTTACCTGATGACCTGAGTTCAGGCCCCAGAGCCCTCATGGGGAAGAGAACAGACTTCAGCAGGTTTTCCTCTAAACGCTACATGTGCACAATGGCACATACAAATAAACGTACAAAGAAATGTAAAAATAACTTTAAAAACTAAACCTAAGCATTACCATGAACATGGAAACCCCACAGCTTGCACAGGGCTCAGGGCTGGCAACAATGTTTAATATCCAGGCCCAGGTAGAGAGACTGAGGCCTGAGGGTAGAAGGCCATCTTTGGCTACAGACAGGACTTACAGGCCAAGTCTGGGCTACATAAATCACTGTCTCAAAAAAAAAAACAAACAGATAAATATTTTAATTTCACTTTGTCATTTTATATACGACTTACTATAAAGTTAAAATGAAAGATGCTTACAGCAACGTTGACAGAAGCTAAGTCCCTCTCTCAAGCCGGTTCCCTTCTCCATGTAACTGAACACTTTCTCCTTTTCCTCCACAAAGAGCAGCTTGGCTTCCCCTCAGGCTGTCTGCAATGAGCCCTGAAGAGAGCGGCCACTGCCCTTCCAGCCTGCACAAAGCATTCACACACAGATAAGAGCAGGAAACTGGAGGTATCAGGGGCTCCATCCCGGAGCATTGTTCCTCTGCCTTCCGAGGCCCTGGCACAGCGAGGTGACTGCTTATCTCATCTGGACTAAATACCAAAGCCCAAGGCATCTATTTAAGGCAGTCGAAGCTTCCTCCTTGAATTTCAGATTTCGATCTCCAATGTCGGTTCTCATCCCTTTTCTGAAGTCGTGGCTTTTAGAATAAGAGTAACCAAAGCAGGGTTAGCATACAGGAGGGGGTGGTGAGGAAGTGGGCACGCCTCAAATGTATGAGAAACCTTCAAGTTTATAAAGTTAGGGGCTGCAACAGCCCCATAGAGTCACACTGCCCTAGGATATGAACAAAACTACATTTACAAATGAATTATAATTTTGTTTCCAGATAGGCTCTCATATAGGCCAGGCTGTCCTCAAACTCACTAGACAGACCAGGATAAATCTGAACTCAGCCGAGTCAGGAAGATTGTGAGCTGAAGGCCAGCCTGGGCTACATGAGAGGAAAGAGGCTCAACTCTCCTTTCCGCCTAAAAGTGTTGATACATAATGCGCTGACAATGTTACACTAGTAAAATAAGATGTACACCAAAGCGTGAATCCTGAATGAGAACAGGTGTAGAAGGTTCCAGAAGAGACTAATTCACAGACAGCGTAGAATGGGGCTTATCAGGGCAGGCAAGCACGTAGTGAGTGACATTTGTTTGGTTTGAAGGAAAACTTCTGGAAATGTGCTGACCGGGCAACGGTGTGAATGTCAGTTGATGTCATTCACCCATGCGCTTAAATATAGACAATGTGGTAAATTGTTATGACATATGTATTTAATCACAAGAGCTGAGAGGAGGGCTAAGGAGGTAGCTCAGCGGGTAGAGGCATCTGTCAAGTCTGATAATACCCGGGGTGAACCCTGGAACTCACAAGGTGAAAGGTGATGGGAACCCACATCAGTTCCTGAAAGTTGCCCTCTGACTGCCACATACACCGTGGCACATGCGTGCCCACACACATATGTCTACACACAATAAGGAAATATATTTTCTGGGAATAGGGTCTCACTGTGTATCTCTGGTTGGCCTGGAACTCACTGTGTAAACCAAGGTGGCCTCAAACACAGAGAACTGCCAACTGTGTGCTGGGTTAAAAACATGTGCCACCAAAACTATATAAACATAACTTTAAAAAAAGATAGCCATGCATAAGTGGTATATGCCTTTAATCCCAGAACTCAGGAGGCAGAGGCAGGTGAATCTCTGAGTTCAAGGCCAGTCTGGTCTACAGAGTGAGTTCCAGGATAGTCAGGGCTCTGTAGAGAGACCCTGTCTCCAAAAAAAGCCAAACCAAAACAAAAAAAAGTGAAGAGACAGGGGCAGTCGAGCATCCTGGTTGCTCTTTCAGAGAACCTGAGTTCAGTTCCCAGCACTCTCATGGTGGGAACTCTAGCTCCAGGAAATCCAGCATCCTTTTCCGGTCTCTCAGGTCTCTGGGTACCAAGAATGAAAATTAAAAAAAAAAAAAAAAAAGAAAAAGAAAAAGAAAAAGATTTACCTTAACTGAAAAGACAATCCATAGAATGGGGAAACATTTGGAACCCGTACTTTGAATAAACAAAGAATTCAACTCATAAAAGAAACACAAATGATCCAATGAGAAAGCAGGTAAAGAACCTGAAACAAGCCTGGCATATCTCTTTGAGATTTTATCTCTAATCACAAGTATCTGCTGGATCCCCTAGATTTACAGGGGTCTGGGAGCAAACTCACAAGGGTACTGGGAATTAAACCCAGCTCCTCTGGAAGAGCAGTAAGAGCCCTCAGCCGCTGAGCAGTCTCCCCAGCCTCAGAGAAGATATACACTAATACGGCCTACAGTGACCCTCCAGCGTCATTGTCTTTAGAAGGATGCTAACCCTCACCACACTGAGCTGCCGCCTCACTCAGCCATGCCTTTGGCTGGCTGCGGGGAAACAAAAGTCAGAGTAAGAGGGTGCAGGGACAGTGAGGCCTTCCTACTGCTGCGGCTGCTTGGGAAAATAGTCCAGCCCACCCCAAAGGGCTAAAGAGACACTGTGCAGCTGCATGGCGACTGAGACCTACAACTCTAGCACTGGGAAGCGGAAGCAGGAAGATCACAAGTTTAAGGGCAGGGGTTTACATGAGGTACGGCGGTGCACACCTTTAATACCCATACTGGGGAGGCAGAGGTGTGGGTATCTCTAAGTTTAAGGCCAGTCAGGGCAACATAATGAGACCCTGTCTTCTCAAAAACAAAAGGAGACAGAATACGTAAGTCAACAGTTCTCCTAGGGGTATAGCCAAGAGAAAGGAAACACTGACTTCTTCTGTGGTACTAATGGCAGTAACAAAATGCGTCTGGAAAGATGAATGGCTCAGAGATTAAGGGCGCTGGGACTCTGGGGGAGGGGGTCCATTGTTCTCTGTGGGCACCAGGCATGCCCAAGGTGCACAGACAGACATTCGGACAAAACACCCACACACATAAAAATAGTTAAAAAGGGAAATTAGGTACTTGGAGCTGGAGAGATGGATGGCTCAGAGGTTAAGGACACTTGTTTCTCCTGCAGAGGCTGCCAGATTCCACATGGTGGCTCACAAGCAAGGAAATCCAGGTCCAGGAGATCCAGCACCTTCTGACCTCCACACGCACCAGGCAGACTCGTGGTGCACTTACATACACGCAGGCAAAGCACTCAGATACAGAAAGTACCTAAAAAAAACTTTTAGAAATCAGTACCTCTAAGTTGCTTTTGCAGTGAAAACCCCACAGTGCCCCTGGGTCCAGATAAGAGCAGTCGGAGTAGACCAGTCTCTGCCAGTGCCACACGGTAGGGGCAGAGTTGAGCCCACCTGGGAGAAGTCTAGGCGCGAACTGAGAGAGACTGGCAAGAAGCAAACCAAAGACAAAAAGAAACAACAGAAACAATAACGCAAAACTTCCTTGGCTTCCTTCTGTCAGGCTAGATCTTTTTAAAATATGCACATAAAAATACTTTTAAAAATCTTCAACCCAGGGCTGGACTCAGAGGGTAAAGCCCTTGTTGAGCAAGGCGGAAGACCTGAGTTCAATGTCCAGATCCCACATGAAGGTGGAAAGAGAAAATGGACTCCAGGAATTGTCCTCTGATCTCTGCATGTGCACTGTGGCACACGTGCACACACAAATACATTTAAAAAAAATCCTTAACATATATGCCTGTGATCTCAACACCTGAGAGATGAACACAGAAGGATCAGGAGTTTAAGGCAATGTAGGGTTATGTAATGAGTTTGAGGCTAGCCTTGGCTACATGAAACTCTGTCTCATACAACCAAAAAATACTGTAACCAAAGTAAAAGCAAAGATTAGGGCATCCAAGGTATCTTATACCTATGTATAAGATTGTGAAAGAACAGCCAGGCAGTGGTGGCACATGCCTTTAATCCCAGCACTCGGGAGGAAGAGGCAGGTGGATCTCTGTGAGTTCAGGCCAACCTGGTCTAAAAGAGTTTGTTCCAGGACAGGCTCAAAAAAAAAAAATATCTTCTTAAGATTGTGAAAGAAAGAACTTTTAAATTGAACATTGGGTGCTGGAGAGATGGCTCAGTGATTAAGAGTATTGGCTGCTTTTCCAAAGGACAGAGTTCAATTCCCAGCATCCACACGTCAGCTCATAACTGTCTGCAACTCCAGTTCCAGGGATCTGACAATGTCACACAACCACACATGCAGGTAAAACACCAATACACATTAAAAAAAAAAAAGCAGAAAGGACAGTGAAGCCAAGCATGGTAGTGCACACCTTTGATCCTAGCACTTAGGAGGCAAATTCTGAGTTTGAGGCCAGCCTGGTCTACATTGTGAGTTCCAGGACAGCCAGGACTACATTGTGAGACCCTGTCTCAGAAAAAAAAAATGTTAACAGATTTTCATGGGAAAAGCAAAAAACCAATTTCCCTTAAATGAATGGACCACATTATATATATATTTTTATGTGACTCCACTGATTGACACAAGCCAGCCGTGAACAGAATAGAATGCTCATCAAAGTCACACTTGGGACGTGACCCATCCATCCTGCCTACAGTCTCATTGACTGTCTTCACCGGGATTCAGAAATGAAGTTCACCTCCCTCTGAGAGCTGAAGCCAAGCCAAGGGTGACTGTGAGAAAAGCCTCCTGTCCTACTCCAACCAGCATATAAAAGTAATCTTTTCAGCTAGGAGGTGGTGGCGCATGCCTTTAATCCCAGCACTCTGGAGGCAGAGGCAGAGGCAGAGGACGGCAGATCTGTGTGAGTTCAAAGCCAGCCTGTTCTACAGAATGAGTTCACAGAGAACCCCTGTTTTGAATAAAGAAAAAAAAAGTGATCTTTTAGTAGAACACATACATTTTATGCCATAAACAGGAATTTATTTATTCTTCTATCACATAAAACCACAGCACACTAAGTGTTCACAGCTACATTTCCACTCAGGACTTATGCTAATCAGTTTGTGCATCAGAAACACTCATGAGAAGAGAAGAAAAAGCAAGAGCTCCACACAAGCATTTCACCAGGTTTGTGGCAACAATCAGTGTGTGCCCTTTACATACAGAGACGCTACCCACAACACACTCATTAACACACACTCCCCGCTCATACAGTGTGTAGAGTAACATGGAGTGATTGGTCACATGAAGCTCTCTGCCCAGGCATGCTAAAGCCCACAGGGTTGCTTGCTCTGCCAGACAGGTTCAAGGTGTTGGTGGAAAGGGCCCATTCTAACGACAGGTACATCTGGTAGCTATCATGTCTTCATACTCTTTGTAAGCAATGGAACCGTCGGGTTCAATGGTTAACACGCTCAAGGGGCTGTATTTGCCAGGCACACATGAAGGCCTTGGCACAGAGGGGTCCAGCTTCTCATAGATGATATTCTGGACCATGGTGTGCACGGGAGAGCCATACCGATGCCTGACCGCCCTGGGACAGTCCCCTTTACAGTACCTGGGGTTGTACCTGTGTGGGGCCACGATCCAGTTGTCCCATTTGAGCTGACTAAAACTCAGCCTGAAGTCATGGAGTTCACACTCGTTTTGGGGAAAAAGAAACTGTTTGAAGTATTCGCTGAGATTGAAGGAGGCTGTAAGATGTGGCTTCTTGGCTTCCAAGTTGCTGGTTTTCTGCCCTCGACGGTGCCGGGCAGATCTTTCGACCTCGGCAGCCTCTTCTTGCACAGGCTGGGTGGCCACGCTGCCCTGGCCAGGATGCTGCGCAGGCCTCCGGGTGGAGTGAGGGGAATGCCAGGAGTGGTACGCCTGCGCACTGGTGTCGTTGAGATACAAGATGAGCGAGGGAGGCACGGACAGAGGCATGTTAAACACCCCGTCTTTCGGGGCCTGGTCTTTTGTGCACGTAAAATTGACAGACATATGAATGCTTCTCTCGCTGGAGGCCACCAGAGGCTGGAGGAGGGAGGTGACATCCATCTCGATCCATCTGTGTTTCTTCAAGGTAAACGAGTATGGCACCCTGAGGGGAGCCTTGCCGGAAGACACGGGCTCCTTTACAGCAAGGTCCCCCACACAGGTCACAGTGGAGGAGGAAGCAGCCGAGTTGTTGAGAGCAAATAGCAAGACTGACTTGAGTAAGTGTTCCATGGCTGTCACCCGATCCAGGTTAAACAGCAGGTCCGCCATCGGCAGGGGTCCTGAGAAGAGAAGCCACCAACCAGTAAGTAGTGTTTGGGGATGAACTGGAGGGAGCAGGAAGGGAGATGGAAGAATTAGTACTCAGTCATAAGGTTTCCTGTCCTTCTCCTCCCCTACTTCCTTAAGCCTCAAAAACAAAGCGAAGAAGGGGTTTAGAAGGAAATTATAGAGGGTCTGGGTATGTTACTCAAGAGTAGAGCACTTGCCTGGCATGCACAAGGGCCTGGGGTCATGCCTTGAGTTGGGTAGGGAGGTGAGGTTTGTTTTTTTTTTTTGTGATATGATCACTCTGAAGGATTGGCACCAGCTTGGGATATGTTGTGAGACTGCCTCAAACACACACACACACACACACACACACACACACACTCACACACACACACCCTCACACCAGACATGCTCTCCCACACTATCTCTCTCTCTCTCTCTCTCTCTCTCTCTCTCTCTCTCTCTCTCTCTTTCTCTCTCTCTCTTTCTCTCTCTCTCTCACACACACACACACACACACACACACCCTCACATCAGACATGCTCTCCCACACAATCTCTCACACACACATACCCTCACATACACACACACACAGACAGACACACACACAAGAGACTGGAACTTGTAGCCAAAACCCATAATCCTGCTCTCTTGGGAGGTAAAGGTCATTCTCTGGCTACATAGCAAATTTGAGGTCAACCTGAACTGGTTACATGAGACAAAGGCACCGCCCACACCCTCATGGGGTGACTCAAGCCTCAGAAGGTGGAGGCAAGAGGACCAGAAGGTCAATAGCCCCTTTGACTACCGACTGAGTTCAAGGTGGCCAGCCTGGTCTGTAAGAAAGTGTAGAGCACTTCAGTGGAGCTCAGAGCTCAGTGAGTCAGGAGGGTCGCTGCTGCGTTTGAGAACTTGAGTTTGAACCCTAGGATCTACATGGTGGAGGGAGAGATCCAACTTCAGAAAGTCTTTCTCTGACCTCCAGACATGACCCCACCCCCAATCCACACATGCAAATACATTTTGTCTCCATAAAAGTGAGATCAGCTTTCCTGGAGAGGTAAAGCAAGAGACTATCATTACATCCCAGTTCTAGACCCAACAGCCCACTCCAAACACAGGCAGGTGAGAAGAATGGCTCCCTTTGGTGGCATCCCTACTGACGCAGCCAGGAGACTTGCAGAAGCAACATTCGCTGGACCTGGATGAAGCATGTCAATTGAGAACATCTGACTGCCACGTGAGATTGGAAACAAATGGAGGCTCTAAGACTGCTGCAGGAAAGTGGACCAGCGGGAGGAAGGGAGGCTTTCAACAGACGCCCTGTACAGGCATGATGGTTTTCCTTCCACTGTGAACTGGTGGCTGCGGTGTGTGCGTGTGGGAGTGTGCGTGTGGGGGCGGTTAATGGACACACACTCTGTAGCACACATATGGAAAAACAACTTGTGGGACTCGGTTCTTCCAACATGTGGGGCCTGGGAACTGAATTAAGGCTGTCGGGTTGGTGGAAAAAGCCTTCACCCATGACGCCATCGCCAAAGCCTGGAGTTTTTGTTGCCGGTTTTTAAAGCCTCCCCCACTCTTATTTCTTACCAAACTGTTCCCGCTGTTTTTGGTTTTTTAAGACAGGGCTTCTCTGTAGCTTTGGAGCCTGTCCTGGAACTTACCCTGTAGACCAGGCTGACCTCGAACTCACAGAGGTCTGTCTGTCTTTGCCTCCTGAGTGCTGGGATTAAAGGTGTGTGCCACCACCACCTGGCCTGTTCCCATTGTTGACTAATACTTTGAGGTTTGGGGTTTTGTTTGTTTGTTTGTTTTTATTGTTGAGACAGGGTCTCACCAGGTAACCCAAGCTGGCCTGGAACTCATTGGATAGCCCCAGCTGGCCCTGCTCTGAGCTGGGAGAGCAGCCTGCCCCTGCCCCCTGAGGGCTAGAATTAAAGTCACGTGTCATTATGCCCTGCTTGACTTCTGTTGATACTGGAGGCCAAACTCCGGGCATTTGGTATACTCAACATAAACTGTACTATAGCTCAGCCATACCGTTTTGCACTGTGCCAGATGGAGCGAGAGGAAACTGTCCCATTCATCACAGCCACGGCTGGCTCAAAGCGAGGTTTCGGCACAATGCTAGGCCAACAGCTTGGCAGAATGGAAAGAGATGCTAGCTACTTCCCCTGGTCTTTCAAGACATTACTCTCTTCTAGCCTTAACATATTGAGCTAGTGTGCCGTTACAGGCCTGTGTCCCCAGCACTAAGGCAGGCGGGTCACTGCAAGTTTGAGATCAGTCTCAAAAAAGAAAGAGAGCGGGAGGGAGGGGAAGAGGGAAGGAGAGTTCAAACAAAATAAAAATCTATCATACTAATTTTTTTTTCAGTTTTTTTTAAAGACAGGGCTTCTCTGTGTAGTCCTGACTATCCTGGAACTTGCTCTGTGGACCAGGCTGACCTCGAACTCACAGTGTCTGCCTGCCTCTGCCTCCTGAGTGCTGGGATTAAAAGTGTGCCACCATTGCCCAATCATACTAGTTTCTTAACCGATGATGGTTTAAGCTAACAAAACACACACATAGCAAACCATGTAATCAGCGCTACTGCCCAGGGATGTAGTAGTGGAGGGCTTAGCTAGCATATGTGAGCCCTCCAACCCTATTTGATCCTTAGCACCGCCACACCAAAAAAGAATTCAAGAACTTAAGAAAAAAATTAAAGCCAAGCCATGGTGGTGCATGCCTTTAGTCCCAGAACTGGGGAGGCAGAGGCAGGCAGATCTCTGAGTTCAAGACCAGCCTGGTCTACAGAGTGAGTGTCAAGATAGCTAGGGATATTATACAGAGAAACCCTGTCTCAAAAAGAATAAAGAAAAGAACTAATTTGTTTCACTTGGATACTGAGAATAATGCCAAAAGAAAAAATTTGTGATGCTGTAAACCTGCATGGTCCCAGTACTCAAAGGGTGAGACAGGAGGAAGCAGAGTTTGAGTAGAACCTGGGTGACAGGGTAAGATCTTGCCTCAGAACAAACAAATTCAAATCAAAGTCTGGCCCATCTTAGTAACAGAAACATTGAAGCTCCAGTCTCCTCTCTCCACCCAGTTAAACAATTTGCTCTTACCCACCTGTCACCTGGTTGCCAGGAGCTGGCTCGTGCTTGGTATAGGGGCTGAAGAGCCGAACAGTGTTGTAGAGGTGACTTCTGCTGGGTTTAGGAACCCCTTCTTTGGTAGCATATGTCTTATAGAGCTTTTTCATGTAGTAGAGCGCTCTGGAGTCAGGTTGCAGCTTAGGGGCCTCACCTCTCCTATCAGACAGGACCTTAAAGAGGGGAGGCAAGAGACCCGAACTGTCAGTTCCATCTACGGGCAGCAGCAAGGACCAAGGATCTGCCTCAGACTCCAAAGCTGCACTGGCTCCAGTCTGGGATTCTCCCCTAGCAGCCTGAGAGCTGAGGCTAGTAAGAAAACACAGCCAGGCAAAGCAGCAAAACCCAAACCGGAGTTTGCTGGGAAGTGCCATGGCTTGGGAGAACTAGGAAGGAATGCATCTCCCCACGCCGGTTTTCTTTCTAAAGACTGCGAAAGCCCTGGCGTGGTCCTTAAATAAAATCTAGGTGTGGAGGACCAGCTTCACTTCTGTAATCAGACCTCAAGGATGCCTAGCTGTAGGTCATTTTTCATCAGTTCTACAAGTCAGCTGTTAGCACATTTTTATACAATTTGTTCTCATTAGATGCAGATTTGTCTACTTAGCTGTTTTCCATTTTCCCTGACATTTACTTCAAACCCACCAAGTATTATTACCCTCATGGACTACTTATACAGCTGAAAACCCAAGAAAAACCCGAAGAATTATAAAACAAAATATCTTAGGGCTGGAGTCGTAACTGCAGGAATATTAGGTTTGTTTTTTCTCTTGATTCGCCATCTCCACAGCTCTCACCGCCTTAGTGCTAACTGCTTACTTATTGCATAGTGTTTTGGGAACACAGGAAGTCACAGCGGGTACAGAAATTCCAGAGTGACGTTAGGCTGTTCAGCCTGTCCAAGTACAGGGCATGGAAAGTTGGCATAGGACAACAGTTACAGTGTGCTTTAAAAGAAGACATGGCGGCAGCCGGGGGAGGGGGGTTACAGGTGTGATGCACACCTTTAATCCCAGCACTCAGAAGGTACAGGCAGGTGGATCTCTATGAGTTCAAGGCCAACCTGGTCTACAGAGAGGGTTCTAGGAAAGCTAGGGCTACGTAATGTGGAGAGTCCATTTCAAATAAAAAGAGGCCATTATGGAGCTGGAGAGGTGGCTCAGTTGCTAAAGAGCACTGACTGTTCTTCCAGAGGACCTGGGTTCAAATCCCAGTCACCCATATGATAGCTCACAACTTTCTGTAACTCCAAGATCAGAACCCTTTGCACAGATTGCATGCAAGCAAAACAGCAATGCACATAAAATAATAAAAATCAATTATTTTTTAAAAAAGGACATCACCTTTAATCTTGACTAATTTAAAAATACAACATCCTGGGACTGGAAAGATTGCTCAGCAGTTAAGGGCAGTGGTTACTCTTCCCAGAACAAATTATGTGGCTCATGACCACCTGTAACTCCACTTCTGGCATCCTTAGGAATGCAAAACACCAACTATAAAATGAAAATAACAAATATTTAAAAACCCCACAATATCTATTTGGATGGCAAGATAGCTCTGAGAATAAAAGCACTTGCCACCATGCCTAATGACCAAAATTCAGTCCTACAAACCTGCATCCAGTCTCTAAGATCCGCATGGCAGAAGAGAAGAGACTCCTACAGGTTCCTCTGACCTATATTCACATGCACCCCTGCTCTTTGCATACAGAATACAGATTTTATTTAAAGGAAGCAATTTCAGAAAGCTTTTATTTGCTTAAAAGAATCAATGCCTTTTGAAGCAGAACAGAAACCAAAAATATCCTAATTACTGTCAATACTTTCAAAACCAACACATCAAACTTGATTTTCATTTAGAATGCCATTTTTCAACACTGGTAATTAAAAATGTAAGACCCAGATTTTATGTGTGTGTGTGTGTGTGTGTGTGTGTGTGTATGCAAACGATTATTGCGCCTCGTCTTCTGAACAAGAATGTCAAGTCAGCCTCTCATTAAAGGCAATGACTTCATGCCACAGTCACCTCTTTTGCCAGCGCCAAATCCACCTCATCTGAGGCCTCTGTTTCGTGAGAAACACTGGTTCTCCTCTGCTGTCTGTGGCACCGGTTCATTCATTCCGATCAAGAGCCCTGGCAAAGTCCCTGGGTTTGTCAGGAGCAGCTCTTTCCTTCTTCGATCTGCTTTTATCAGATTCACTGTCAGACAAAGATTTCCTTTCTGTACCCTCTTTTTCATTACTAGCCTTTTGAAAACTAAGAAATGCTTCAATTAATTCTGGACAATCTAAATTTTCTTCTGGTACCCAAGTAGTCTCAGCGTCTGTGAGCCCCTTCCACTTGAGGAAATGCTCCACCCTCCTATTCACTCACTACACGTGGGTCCAAGACTTACTTTTTCTACCACAAATTCTTCAGGTTCTGCCTCTTCAACTTTTTTTGCTCCAGGTTGTGCTCCTCAGCTAAGTCACATTTGAGGGGAAAAACACATATTTTAAAAGTAATGAAAAGTACAATATTCTAGTGTCCTTGTTTTAGTCTACAATTCATGTGACCATACTCTGGTCGGAAGGTTTCGAGATATATGCAAGTAGTACATATTTAAACATATTTAATATGTACTATTAAATGTAAGTCTTTATTTATTTTTTAACAAGCCACCCAGATGGCAGAATTTACGACAGTATTTTAGTCCTTGACTAAAGTATTTGTGTTCCTGCCTTGGAGCTGAGACAAGGCTAGATAGTGTTTTAGGAGAACCCAGGGCAAGTGCACCATGCAAGAAGGGGTTACCCAGGGCCCCTCGGAAGGTGATCATCTTCTGGAAGAAAGTCAACACATACTCATACTCATAACACAAGATAAAAAGTCAGTGTGTGCAGCACCTAATTAATAAACCCGAACCCTTGCAAAACTGAAGCTCAGGGTCCGCCAAGCCGCCCCAGTTTGATCACCAGATTATAATCGGCCAGTCATCCCATTTACAGGCATTGGGAAAAACAGAAAGGTCCGTGAGTCCCACAGGACAGTATTACTTAGGAGAATGCACATTAGGGAAAACACAAAAGTTCCATTAAGAGAGGAGAGAGCCGGGGCTCGATGACACACCCAGCCGGAACCAAAGCCTCTCTATAGCTCTCATGACCACGACCCGCGTCTGACAGTTGTCTGACGGAGAGCCGATGATTTGTAACTGAACTGGGAGAAACGTTTGTGTCACATCCTCGACAAGTCTACCGGCTGCCAGTGGTTTCCTAGGCAGCGTTTACCGGAGCCCTAGACCCAATGGCCCTAACTTTGTGCTGCAGTCATGAGGGTCTGTCTACAGTCCAGCCCATTTTGGTTACGGGGATCCCATGCACTGGAACTCCTCTGCTAAGGGACAGTCAGGAGGACAAAGTCCCCTTTTTTCCTCTTTGGGCAGCTTCCAGCTCTGGTATCTATCCAACGAAAGCCCGGGCACTAAGCAGTAAGAACCAGATCTTGGAACTCCCACACGCCCTAAGCCTCGCCCATTGGCACAAACCACGCCCTATGCACCTAAAGGCCCCGCCTCATGACCGGCGGGAGCCTCACGGACGTTCACCTAAACTCTATTTCATTGCTGGCTAAAATCCGGGCCGCACACTCACCAAGCCCCACATTATCTTTCCAGCTCCGCCCACATACCAACATAAGCCCGCCCACACGTCCTCTACGTTCCCGTAAGCTTAACGTGCTCCGTTAAGCACCACCCAGCCTCTTGAAGAACCGGTTCTGCACCTGTAAGCCCCGCCCCTTCCCTCTAGACTCCGGGCCGCTCCCAGGTCCGCCGTCCAAGCCATTTTCTCTTTAGGACTGATCGGCGTCTCTCCCTGGAGACAGAAGGAAAATGGTAGTGCCCGGAAATGACGTTAAGTTCTCTCGGCTCGGCTTCCGCCCCTTCCGGAAGTGACGTTAGAGCCGGGCTCAGCGCGGTGGAGGTAGAGGTGACCTGGTGGAGTGGGTTGGTACGGGGCAGTGGGAGTTCCTTGCGGGCCTAAGCCACGCTTGTGTCCTCCGTTCTTAGGGCCGCCGCCACCATGGGCCGCGAGTTCGGGAATCTGACGCGGATGCGTCACGTGATCTCCTACAGCTTGTCACCCTTTGAGCAGCGCGCCTTCCCGAACTACTTCAGCAAAGGCATCCCCAATGTGCTGCGCCG